AACCACACTTGCCAGCCACTGATAATATATAAAAAAGCATATACTGCCATCATTTTCTCCACATATCTCCGAGCAACATTTAGTTATATTTCTCTTTCAAATTTTTCCGTCCGGTTTGTATTTAAACTTAAAAAAATGGAATATTTTCCAGATTAAAACTCAGAGTGATATTATGATATTGGTTTTGTATGATTTTTGTGGCTCTACTGATTATAAGCAACAAACGGCATAGACCCAGATCTACCATCCTTTAAGACCCAGATCTACCATCGTTTAAGACCCAGATCTACCATCGTTTAAGACGAAGGCAAATCTGGAAACGTGCAGTTTGTAGCTGGATTCGACTTAGACTCGAGTACAAGAGTACTCAATATCTTAGTCAAACAAAATCTAAAAAAAAAAATCGGATTAGTTTTGATCTTGCATAACATCACGTACGAGGGATGAAGGTATATGTCGACTTTAGACTCAAATGCAAAAATACCTTTAATAATTTTTGGTCAGTTCAGTTATTGGATATCATTGTCGCGAGTCACCGTGTCGTGATTCACACGTTGATTTGGGATTTATTTTTTGGGGTTGCTCTGAATATATTTTAGATATGTCACGTAATTAGGGTATGATAAATCGCGATGTTATAAGCCCTATATTTACATCGGAACTCTCCATGAGGTCTACGTCGATAAAAATTACTTTATTTTGGGAAGAAAACCTTATTTAATCACAACGGGTACACCTAAAGCAAAAATTTTGCTGGTAAAGTTATCACAGAAATGTCCAGACGTTCCATCTGAGAAAGAATGTACAATCATAATTGCTGCTGTTAATTATGATGATAATGTAAAGTTAATGGCAACGATGACAACGTCAGTCACATAGACGTCAATAACCACGACGGCGATGATGAGTGGACTCAAAACCACTAACACTTGGAGCAGAAAGTTTGATTGATTAACTGGGAATGTGTTAACACCTTTTTGATTTTTTCGGATTTACTGTACATTTTCTGGTTCTGATTTGTTTTAAAGAAATCCCACCAAACATTACCCTGATTCCAAAGGGCATTAACGGTTTGCTTCCTCTATGGCTTAAAGACAAACGCACGAACAAATGCATTAATTCCAAATGGATTGCATAAAGTTTCCTTCCTCTGTTGCTGAAAAGCAAACGCACGAACAAATACCTTTATTCCAAATGGCTTGAATAAGGATTCCTTCCTGTCCAGCTGAAAGACAAACCCACAAACAAATACATTCATTCCAAATGTTTTGAATAAGGTTTCCTTTCTCTACTGCGTTGTGAACAGCCCACAGACCAACATCTTCATTCCAAATGAAATAAAAAGGTTTGCTTTCACTACTGCTTTAAGACCTAAATAAGGTTTTCTTTCTCAACTGCTTTAAGAAAGTCCCACCAACCGTTGCCTTCATTCCAAATGGCCTGCATAAGGTTTTCTTTCTCTACTATCTTAAGAAAGTCCCACTAAACGTTACCTTCATTCCAAATGGACTAAATTAGGCTAGCTTCCTCTCCTCGACAGTTTAGTCGTGCGATGCTGTTGTTACGGTTTTGTATCAATTTAACATTCTAACAGAAGTAGATAGCAATGAGAAAATACGTCCCTAAATATCTTATGTCAATGACTTTAAAGCAATATGATTTTCACAAAAGCAACATTATTACTTTTGAAGTGCCTTGCTATTGCGCGTATTCGTTCCACTAGGTTCTGTATAAATATGTAGATGGAGATATGTTTTCTTATACAATTAAATCGTATATGTACCAGTCATTTACACTTATGTCATTCAAGAGGATCTATCTATCTATCTATCTATCTATCTATCTATCTATCTATCTATCTATCTATCTATCTATCTATCTATCTATCTATCTATCTATCTATCTATCTATCTATCTATCTATCTATCTATCTATCTATCTATCTATCTATCTATCTATCTATATATATATATATATATATATATATATATATATATATATATATATATATATATATATATATATATATATATATATATATATACCATTTACGCATCTGTCGGTCGACAGGAATTGTGTATATGTACTAGCTGTTTACATGTATCTCAGTCAAGAGGATTTGTCTATATGTACTAGTTTTTCACATGTATAACAGTCAAGAGAACTTGTGCATATGTACTATACGTTTTTACATATATTGACCATGTTGAGTTGTGTACATGTACCAAATGTTTATACGTACGTCAGCCGCCAAGAGGATTTACGTATATGTCTAATTATTTATCTATATATCAATCAAGAGGACTTGTATATGTGCACCAGATATTTACACATTTACACTTATTTTAGCCCTTGGGATTTGTACCAAATGTGTCAGAAAATATGACATTGATTTGAGGTTCATGTTTCATTTTGTTAGCATGTATATTGTACTCTTATAGGTCAGATAAAAATAAGCACATATTCACGAAGATATATAGTATGTTTTGAATACAAGAACAAAGCCAGTCTAAGCTTTTCTTTTTATATACATAGATTTGTAAAAGAAAAAAAGAACCGTATATTTCTTTTGTTCCTTCAGTTTAAATTTTTGTTTTTTTCGCTTTGATTGACACTTTATTCTTTAAATGCAGATCATTTGTAATCATCAAATTAAAATATCGATCACAGATCTAAAATCTTTGCTAGCTTACAAGTCCAGCTGTAAAATGCATAGCAGATCAGGGTGTATGTTGTTCGTATATAGACTCGACTTATAAGCGTGTACCGTCTGCAGTTTTCAGTCGATGTATTTACTAAATCAATCAATAAATCAATTATTTGATTGCAGGATTTATTACTCTGGTCAAACATGTAAATTCAACAGAGCGAAAAAGAAAATTTCCTTATTTGAATTATATAGTTGTACGAAACAACCTTACTAAGGAGTATAATATTTAGAAGATCTTAGTATTAAATTTGCACGTGGTCAACATGGGATGATGAATTATGGTATTACTTGTTACTGATATCTGATTCTGGGATATGGGATTCAAAATATTCACATAAAACTGCAGTACGGATCATATTTTGCCATGGGATAGGTTTCATTTATACGTTTGATGCGACAGTATAAAAGAACACGCATCCGTGAAATTAGTGACCATAATAAGTTTTACTAAAATGTTAAAAACTGGTTTTATCTTGCCTTTACGTCACTTGTGATCCGATATTCACACAGATTTTAATAGATACATGAACAAACATGTAAGGTACATTAGACAAATTCATTGTTTTACACCTTCCGGTGTTCTCAAGTACAGACAGATAACATATTATTATTATAATCGTACACTAATGACGCAGAACTCTTATCTTGCCATTAGAGAGTTATTTAATAACACAATAGCTTTTATCATGGTCAAAACGATTTCAAAAGATGTTAAGTTTATTTTTAATTTTTGAATTTTTGGTTGACGGGAAAATTGTATCTATAAATCCTACAGCATGAGTCACTTTTTCAATTTGAAATGACCTTGACTAAAGGGGAATTGAATCAATTCTGCGTATACTGATATATAACTAGCCAGGTAAAACAGACATGTCCATCGGTCATTCCGTGGGTAGGTAGGATGAATACAATTGATAATAAACAAGGAAGTGTTAGTAGCTTCTTGTAATTGACAGTGTTGGAATTCATATGCTTATTGATTAAAGTGGACATTGCGAGCGACACGACAGTGTTCAAGAATCAAAGTACTAGAAACACTGTACCGATTAGGCTTCTGGAAATACATCCCACGTTCAGTGGATAGACCATCTGCACAGAAAATCACCTCAAAAGATGCTATATAAACTCGATCTTTAAGATGGTTGTCATGGCAGCTACAGTTGATGTCAGGTCTGCTGCATCTTCATCTAGGACCATCTGTATCATCAAAAGGAGATTTTTACGGTATAATTATACATGAATATGACCAGTTGTTCGTAAAGGCTAATATAAGCAGATTTTCCAAGGTGATGGCAATGGCGGAGATCAAATCAGTGCCATTTTGTTTATGTACGATCAATTAAATATAGTTTAAGCGGGTATTTGGTGAAATCATTGCACACCTACCATTACGATAATCCATTATAACAAGTTGTAAATGACTATCCATAGTAACTTCATATACAATATCTTCAAATGTTTTGCAGAATTTTTCTTTGAACTTAAAATTCCTTACGAGCAGTGCCTTGCCTGAGAACATATTTTATGGTTTCTGTGTCTCTACGCTGGAATAATTTTCCAGAAAAACTACCATGTTTTAGGACTGCGTATCATTTCCGAATATTATTTGTCACTGCAAATAAATTTATCGGCTTGCATACGTGTAAGTTCATATATGGTGTTGTCCATATATTGTACACTAGGTATCTCTCTAATTGATTTAATCTCAACAACCACATCGTCAAATTCAGCAACAGCTGGGATGTCTCTAATCCGTCTGGAAGCAGCGTGATAACCTAGTTTAAAAACAAGCAACCAGCTCCATCGAGTAAACTTGGTATTTGTCTGAAGCTCACAGAGTTTTGGAACTGGATACGCCCGCGTCACGCCCGGGGGAAACCTTAAATGTGTTGCTTTCAATCAAAGATACACACGTTTGAAAGAAATCAACAGTGGGAAAACATCACGGAGAACTAGAAGGGGTTTTAGGGCCTGGGATAAATAAATAATAGACTAGATAAATTCATCGAAAACATGGTTTCATTATATAATTTTAAATATGTTTCACTAACGAAAGTGTGTGTGTGTGTGTGTGTGTGTGTGTGTGTAATTTGGAGTTTTAACGTATCTGTAAAACAAAATTCAGTCAGATCGGCACTGTGGCAGTTTATAGTGATGTCTAGCACTGGGGCATCATGCAGGAGATGCATAGCATAATGTACCATCCAGTCACATAATCCTGACACCAGGCCGACCAGTCCTAACACAAACCTCTTAACGCTGAGCGCCTAGCGACGCAGCTGTTAGTACTATGATTCGGCCGGGGTTTGAACCTACGACCTCCCACATCCAAGGCGGACGCTCTAACCACTATACCACTCAAGAAAGAGCCAGAATGTTAGTATCATTAACTAGAAGTAGGAAAAAGATAAGTTTCAATCATAAAAAAGATTTCATGCGCATATCGGTTTGTGATGTAGATGAAGTTTGTATTAAGATGGTTGAAATGTTAAGCAATTTCTGTAAGTTTTCAATTACATATTGGAATTTTATGAAATCGTTTTAAAATTGAAATGTATATAAATATACAAGTAGCATAGTATTTCGATCATGATTGCTAGATCACGCTTTCTTCTTACCACCAGAAAATCCCGATCACGACCACGAACCCACGGGAAACTACTGACATGCTTCCTCACATATCCACGTTGGTCATTTTCACCAGTTATTACAGTGCCATTCACACTAAATCAAAATTAAACATATAAATCTAAATAAACCGTAAATACTTCTACAACACTGTTAAGTAATGTCCCAGAAGAGCCAATCATCTGTCGAACTTGGCGATGTTCTGACTGACATATTTCAAATCAAAATAGGTATAACACAATGTGACAATCACATCCAGCTCTGTTTATAATTGTTAGGGGTATCGGATCTCTGCCATTTTACATCTGTCCGCCTGGTTCGAGTCTCAGGTTAGGACAATGTTGGCATAAGAAAAAGCTGCCCCTAACTTCGCGTGGGATGATGGTTCGTACCGGGGTTTTCCCGGGTTTTTACTCTGCCAGTTATAGCGGCCGCTATTTATTGCGTTGAGAAATAACTTTAGACTTAAAGAACAGTCACATTTTAAAATAAAATATGAAATAGCGGGATGAAATAACAGGGAACTGAGCAAAATTAAGATATAGAACAGAAAAACAGGAGCCCTAGTATGTAAAACACAACAATTTAATCAATTACATAAACAAAACTGCCATGTGATTCATTCATTTTCTCAGAATTAGTTACAAAATTATGCTAAATTCAAGTAGCCGTTCGATTAATAATAAAACAAATTTCATCATATGATCAAGTGACAGATCGAACATGGATTGCCTGGCATGACAGCAACACAGGGCGTATCCGGTCCTCCTTCCTAAATCACAGTTGGTCCACGTCCCACAACTCTGTCTGTCTGTCTCTCTCATCTCTCTCTGTCTCTCTGTCTCTGTCTGTCTGTCTCTCTCTTTCCCACATTGCAATCATGTCTCTGTGTGTAGAGCTATTACCGTTAAATACAAAAATAACACCCATCCTAAATTCGTGTAAAGGATTTTCCTTCTCCTGAGATCCAAAAGTATTCTCACTTTTTTTTTTTAGTCAGATATCGTCTTTAGAAATTCAACAGAGATAGCTAATATGATTGTTGTTGTTGTTTTGGGGCTAAACGCCATTTTTCAGCACACGATAGGCTATATATGGCGGCCAGTATTAATGGTGGAGGAAGAAACCGGGAAATCCGCGAAAAGAACCACCGATCCACGAGAAACTACTGACAAGCTTTCTCACATATCTACCTTCGCCAAATCTTAGACTCGAACCCACGCAGACAGAGGTGAGATGGCAGTGATCCGTAACGGAGAGCGCTTTAGACCACTCGACCACCCGGGGCCCTGATAGCTAATATGGTCAGTTCGCACTAATACACAAACAACCTCTTATTATAAATCAATATCAAGTTAGTCTCATTGTCCTATCTAAGTTATTTTGCTGATTAGCGATTTTTGACATACGTTTCCAGTCATAGGAAAATCATTCCTCAGCATAAATGATTCAAATAATTTAAGACTCATAATTTACATGTTCACACAGTTTAATAAAATGTTGTATAACATCCTTACAACATGATTCATAAAGCATGCACTATTATTTCTGAACTCAATGGAAAAATGATGTATAAATCTAACATGAATAAATTCAACAACTATACGCCTTTATTAAAAACTATTCAGGACAATATCAATTTATGACTTCTATTTCAAATCAACCACAACTTTCTGAAATATTCTCGCCGGGTGCAGGTCACTTGGACACTTTACAGCGATGACATCACGTTAGCATCGTGTTTCCTGTCTGTTATAACTTTTAACTAGCGGGTCCTAATTAAAATTCAATTCATTCCCCAGGCAGAGCAGATTCTATCCCTCGCAGTCAACAATTTATTGCGAGACTCGCCAGAACTCAAATCTTAATGTTTACGTGTCACGCTGAGCTGACCCCAACAAAATGCACTACTAAAGAATGTACTGTGAAACTTATACCATGTACAGGTTACTCTCTGTATAGAACTAAATCTACAAAAGTTTGTACTACTATTACTACTGATACTATTACTACTACTACTGATACTACTACTACTACTACTACTACTACTATTACTACTACTACTATTACTGCTAATGATGCTACTAGTTACAAAATCTATCAATTATGCTTTATGTCAAACAAGAGTCTTTTCATACTCTAATTCAGTATAACACTCGGAAGCAGATTTTACGTCAAATATATGAGTGATCGAAAACAGATTTTGCATCCAGAATATGAATGACTGTGAATTAAATATGAAAAGTTAAAGCAAATGGAAAACGGAAGAACAATATATGCATAAAAGAAAGATTTGGTATAGAAAAATATTTTAGACTACGAAGTAATCCTGTATTCCGCAGTCCCATTACAAAGAAAAAAGTGTTCCTTCACAAAATTACGTACTGAAACTGGTTGCTTTGCCAAAACACCAAGAAAAAAAAGATCTATTTAAAAAATGATCAGACAATGCTGTGAAAAATAAAATCCATTTCTTTTCTTTGTTTGTGATACATATTCTACATGTAGACAACAGTTATTTGATGTTGTAAACATGAAAGAATACTTGACATGCATGACATTCCAAAATGTGCTGTTATTTAATGCAAAGATAAAAAGTTACCTATTAGGTAAATTTATGTCCAGCAATGTTAATGAATGACATATACATAATTTACGCTAATATTTTGTATATGCAGCTATAATTGTCCATTAAATCCTTTTGTTCTAATGTAACTATACTTTTTGTGTACTAATGTAACTATACTGTTTTGTGTACTAATGTAACTATACCTTTTTGTGTACTAATGTAACTATACCTTTTTGTGTACTAATGCAACTCTACCTTTTTGTGTACTAATGTAACTATACTTTTTGTGTACTAATGTAACTATACCTTTCTACGCAGTTTGTTAGTGCTGTATCAGATAATCAAGGATTATTCAGTGTTTTTTAAATAGCTAATTCTGTTGTTTCATTTTGTACTTTTGTGGGTTCAAATTGTTAAATAAAATTTGTGTATCTTTTATTCTACAAGCATTGTGAAAATCTTCGTGTATATTTACTTGTGATGTACTCTGGAAATGCACTTTTAATTAATAAACTGATGTGTGCGTAATTTTGATTAATGCGCATTCTTTCCTTGCATACATTGATGCCTATGTGTCAATGCGTACCTAAGCAAAGGATTGATATAAATGCATTTCGCGTCGCCATGTTGTTAGTCAAGATATAACGGATTTCATTGTCTGTATCACTGACCAAGGCTTGGGCACACATGTCATTTATATAATATTTGATTTCACAATCGATAGTTTAATAAGCGAGATGTGTTTGTTAGAATAGTATGGCTTTTGGCTAGCTTTCACACTACTATTCGTAATTTTGGCGGATCTAATTTCAAAATGATTATAGACCTTTTGACACATATTCATCATGTAGTTTTGAAGCAAATAATGAGAGATGTTCTATCGAACCGTTCTCCTTTGTAATTGTTAAGAAGTAAACGTTCTTTCCATCTTTAATTACAGGACACTGTTTTTCGTTCTTAACTTGTTATCTGTATAATCACAGATCGTTTGCTTTTTGCGTTTCATCGCTATCATTTTCACGGTATTGTAATTACATTCCATCCTTTCAACAACAGCCTAAACTGTGTTGATTCAACAGTTCCCCATTATTAATTTAGCACTAGTTAATCGTTCAGACTTGCTTGCTAGTCATAATTTAATGTAAACCTTTCGATAGGGTTTTGACAATTGTCATTTTCTAACAGCGCTACGCTTGATGCTTTCAAAAAAATAGTAAGTGTTTACAGAAAAAAAAAACATTGTCCAAGTTAAACTAAATTGAACTACTGCAGTTTATCTTTAATTAAAAAAGGATCGGTTAGTACTCATATGCAAGCAATGGAATATTTAATACCAAAGAAAGGAAACTTAGGCAGTATGGACAAACGATCCGCGGTACTGAATTATTGTTTTCTAAAATCATGCTGCATCTTATCTTTAATTTCAATAGTATGTCAACATATTTGCCCAGCTTCCCATGAATGAGGTTGAAGGCATAACATGGTAGGTGTAATGTTGTCACTTTTTCATCGACTGCTGTCCGGGTAGACTTTAAGTTTCAAAGTTGTTTAAAGTTAAAGTGGCTTTATACACTTTGCATCAGGGCAATGCCATCAATCCAATTGTATCAATACGTATGCATCTGTATAGTGTTCATATTTATATGGACGTATTAATATCACCTGACTCTAGCAACAGATTCCAACCAATCACAGCATTGAACTAGAAGGCATGACCTAATAGGCATAACCTTGTACTTTGTCGGTCGTCTGCCGTCCGGTGTCCGATATATACTTTTTCAAATTTGGGATGAAGTTAAAGTGACTTTATACATTTTACACTGCAATACCATAATGCACGGCACACAAACTTAATGCTAAAAATTAATATAATTTTTATCGATGAACCAAGGTCCCATGTCAAGGTTATATGAGTGAATTGTTAAGCAGTTTTGGTCAAGAGCCATTTGCTACTTTTTGTAGGTAGATACATAAGCATGAATGCAATAGTTCGAATTTATATGAAAGGTATTGATAAGAAGATGTCTCTACATACATACATACATACATACATACATACATACATACATACATACATACATACATACATACATACATACATACATACATACATACATACATACATACATACATACATACATACATACATACATACATACATACA